TAGAAACAGCGATGTTATTTCAAATGTGTTCCTTGAAGCAAGATACAATTTTTCTACATACCTTTTAAGATAAGGTTTTGTTGGGACGCCTGGGTGGCTCAGTTGGTTAAGCGGCTGCCTTCGGCTCAGGTCATGATCCCAGCATCCTGGGATCGAGTCCCATATCAGGCTCCTTGCTCGGCAGGGAACCTGCTTCTCCCTCTGTCTCTGCCTGCCTCTCTGCCTACTTGTGATCTCTCTCTCTCTCTCTCTCTCTCTGACAAATAAATAAATAAAATCTTAAAAAAAAAAAAAAAAGATAAGGTTTTGTTAAGACATTCTGGAGAAACATTTACAGCTCAATTTAACTAAATTATGGGCTTATTTCTGGTCTTTTCCCTTACTTTTTTTTAAAATTAATGTAAAATGTATTATTTGTTTCAGGGGTACAGGTCTGTGAATCATCAGTCTTACACAATTCACAGCACTCCCCATAGCACATACCCTCCCCAATGTCCATCACCCAGCCACCCCAAAGTTACTTTTAATTGGACAAACTTTTAATTGAAGTTTCCTCTTTGTGCTCCCCATCATGTCCCACAGTCCTTGGAGAGTAGGTTCTTAATGCTTTAGCCACAGTACTGATCATCTCTTGTGCTGACATTTTATAAAATCTACTGTTCCAGGATTCTGGGATATGTGGGTTACTCACCTGTAAACTCTAGATAGTGCTAAGGGCAGCTTTCTGTCTGTCCTGGGCACAAAAAAGCTAAAACACCAGCCAGTGGCCAGATCTGTAACTGAGGAATACCAAGTCTGAGCTTCAAGCCTCTCCTTTGACAACAGAGTTATCAGACTGAAGTTATAATCAAAGCTCCAAGCCAGAGCACTTTAATTAGATGACCTGTATCATACAAAGATAAAACAGATAAGCAATACATCAGATATAAAGAGCTTCATTAACTGGTTTAGGTGTTCAATTTACAAAAACGTTATGATTTTTTTCTTCTTCTTTGGAATCATAGTTTTGAGAATATAAATCTAACCAAGCTTGCAAAACTGAGAAAATTTTCACGTTAAATATATGTAGTGATTGTTTATCATGGCTTGGTTCTGTATGAGCAGATATATGTATTTTGCTGCCCTCTACTGGGGATTAAAGAATGATTTTTTTCAGTTCCACCTCAATTAAAAATTTCCTCATGATGAAAATTAAATAATTACCTGGTGAAGTTCTAAGAACTAGGGAAAAAAGAGCTAATAAAAATAGAGTTAATAAAATACAGATAAAACACCCCAAAACTATAACCCCCAGGGTTTGTTGGGGTTTCCCCTCAATTGTTCCCACTTTACATTTTTGACCAAGATGACCAAAATCTGGTGGACAGCTTTTACTGAGAATTATTTTTACCCTTCAGACTGAGAGTTTCATTCTGAATTGCAATGAGGCAGATTAATCAGTTTTAACTGTCTGAAATACACAGATACAAAATCTTTTGACTAGCTAAAATTTCATCAAAAGATTGCTAACCTCACATTGTTTGTATGGTTCTGGTAAATTAGCAGACTTTATTCCATGAAGTAATTTTTCATTTCATCTCTTTTAATCCTCAAAATACTCATTCTTACTATTAGATAAGTACTATTAATATTCCCCATTTAACATATGAAGAAATCTTGGCATGAAGAACTAGATAAATTTTCTGAAGACTCACTGGAAAACAAAAGTGGGGGTTTGAACACGGGCAAACCCACTACAGAAGCCATGCTCCTGTAACGACAATAGAAGGGCTTTGCCTGTAACACGGTGCTGACACACCATTACAATGCAGAACGTCCCTGCAGGACAAACTCATTCACCTACTCTTTTGTGAAAGTCAGTGTAAAATAGTTAATCTCAAATTTGTCCAAGGGATAAATATATTAGGACAAAACATATACCATGATATATTACAGAAATATTTCACCTTGCAATATTAAAAGTAGGGATACTAAAAGTAACATGGTTTATTTTTCACAAGTTTTACTCTCAGAATTCTCCATGTTTTTCTAACTCCCCCAGCCTTTGCTTGTTTTCATTATCTTGACATGACTTGGTTATGCTAATGCCTCCTAGCCTTTCAAATCTCAGTTTCTAATCTTTGCTTGCTTTAGGGAAGTTTTCCCTACCCTCACATCTTTCCTATGAGCTTGGGCAGCAAATAACAAAATACTATTTTGTTATGGCAGCATAAGACTGGCAGGCTTAAACAACAGAAAGTGATTTTCTCACAATTCTGGAGACTGGAAGTCCGAGATCAAGGTGGGCCTCCTTCCTGGCTTGTTGACGGTCATCCTATCTCTGTGTGCTCACAGGACCCTTCCTGTATGCATGCAGAGAGATTTCCCTCTTCCTCTTCTTATAAGGCCATCGGTCCTATAGGATTAGTACCCTACCCTTATGACCTCATTTAACCTGCATTGCCACCCATAAACCCTGTTTCCAAATATGGTCACAGGGGAGTTAGGGTTTCTACATATGAATTTAGGAGATATACAATGTAGTCCATAGCGTTTTCTCCTTTCTTAGAATGACTGTGTTGGAATTACCTGTTTACTTACCTGCACCTCATTACACAAGAGCAACCTCAGGCCAAAAAGTACCACTATATTACCATTGTATCCTTGGCACCCTACCTGCCACTTAATGGCCACATAGTGGTTGAATGAATGGTGATATTTACTACCCTGTTCCACTCCTTTACCACTGTCTTAACAGATATTGCCATAATTAGCTGGGGGTTAGGCTTAAGCTGATACCCAGGGCTTTGCTGGAGACAGAACAACAAAACCAGCCTTAGGCTATGGCTGGAATATAAAAGTCAAAAAACCAAACCATTACAAACAAACAAAAGAAAAAAAATGTGTTGGCAAGAATGTGGAGAAAAGGTACCCCTGTATACTGTTGGTGGGAATGTATACTGGTGCAGCCATTGTACAAAATAGTATGGAGATTCCTCAAAAAATTAAAAATAGAATACTGTATGATCCAATGATTTCACTATTGGATATTCACCCAAGGAAAACAAAAACACTAATTCAAAAAGACATATGCACCCCTATGTTTACTGTAGCATTATTTACAATGACAAAATTATGGAAGCAGCCCAAACATCCGCTGACAAATGAAGGGATCAAGAAGTTGTGGTATACGTATATACAATGGAATATTACCCAGCCATGTAAAAGAAAAGAATGAAAACTTGTCATCTGCAACAACATGGATGGGCCTAGAGCATATTATGCTAAGTGAACAGACAGAGAACAGACAGAGAACAACAAATACCATATGATTTCACTTACGTGTGGCATCTAAAAAACAAACAGAAAGCAGAAACATACCCATAATTAGAGAGAACAAGCTGATAGTTGCGAGAGGGGAGATGGATGGGAGGATGGGAAGAATGGGTGAAGGAGAGTAGGAGATACAGGCTTCCAGTTATGGAATGAGTAAGTCATGCCAATTAAAGGCTCAGCATAGGGAATATAGCCAATGGTACTGTAATAGCATTGTAGGGTGACCAATGGGAGCCCCCCCCTTGTGGTGAGCACAGCATAATGTATCGACCTGCTGAATCATGATGTTGTACACCTGAAACTAATGGAACACTGGGTGTCAACTCTACTTCAACAACAAAAGCAAAACAACACAAAACAAGCCTTGCACTAACTCTGCTATGGAACGTTATGAACATCAGTCTCCCCTGAGGTCCTCACCAGAGTGGTAGAATGACATGTCAGTTAAGCTAAACACTGATCAACAGCCATTCCTGGGCCAGGAAGCAGGTTCTGCCCCTCTTTATGTGAGTAGCACAGCAACTGAATTTCTAAGTTCTTATTTCAGATGAACAAGTTCGTAAAGAATAAAGTAAATAACTCAATAAAGTGAATCTATTGAATAAATGACCATGGGACATGATACTATACTCAACTCTCAGTTAAAATTATGTATAAAAAAGAAACCACTGCAAGCAGGCTTGTACAAAACTTTATTGTACTTTGAATAACAAGCATGTAACAAAATATAGAGCATGATTAGGATGAAATATCTCAAATATGTTCCTTACAAAAGCAGTAAGTACAGTACACAAAGACTGTCCATAATATTTTAAAGTCTGCTAAAAATATCAAGACATACTAGGAGCTGTGGGGTTACCTTCCCTTTCAACTAGAGCATTTATTCCCATTAGCTTTGCTACAAATGAAAGTTAACATATAGGAACATACACATAAAATAAGTGAAATGGAAAATGAAGGCATACAACAGACGTTCCAATTACTAAGCAAATGTGAAGAATGAAGTCTTTTTAGAATTCCAAAAACTGCATTTCCTTGGAACATACTGACCAGGTACAATGAAACTTTTTTCTGACGTGTTTTTAACATGTTTTTAACAACAATTTTGACCATGACCAATGTAATCAATACTCTTTCTTAGCATAATTCAAGGATTTGCAAATGTACTTAAGAAACACATTCGCCTCATTCAGAGGTGATATTCAAAACCCTGAATGTCCACCAGTCAGTCCACTGTCCCTCCCCAGTAAGCACAGACACTGGAGTAAATGACTGGTGTGGCAACGTGGTCTGTCCTAGCTGAGTATCAGCCCAATGTTCTTTCCAGCAACACCGGACACGTGTTTTGGCTAATGGACAAGCATGTACTAGGAAATATGAAACATGAAATTCACACAGACATGAAATTGAACTCAATTACTCTGCTGCATGGAAGCTGAATGTGAAATATTTCACAGTGACTGAAATTGACTGGCTAACAGGCAATGGTGGTTTTTTAATATTCGACTTTGATTAAAATAAATGGACTTACAAGAAACCCTTGAGATTTAGTTAATGCTACTAATCTAAAGGCTCTGAATTACTGCAGAGCCTTTAAAATCAGTATATGTGACCTTTTATATAGTTTTCCTTAAGAAAAAAAAAAATAAAAACACCGAGGTACTTTAGTTTCTTTCAAGGGATTACTGTTGTTATCTTCCTGAGATGCAAAAGACCATAAGAGAAAAGCACCATGCCTAGGTTGCTGAATGAGGCATCAGACACTAATAGTTTGGTCCTTTTCTAAATGGGTCTCTTCCGACAATTACACTAAAACATAGTGATGGATCGCAGATGCCCGGGGGTCCTGGTTGGCCTTGGATTCCGGGTTTTCCATTATCTCCATCTTTGCCTGGGAGACCTGGGTCTCCTCGAGGACCTTCTTTGCTTATTCCAGGAGGGCCCTCTGGACCTAAGGTGGGACATGAGCAATATATGAACAGAAGAGTTTGGTTTTTGATGATGACAGAGCTGATTCTGTAAGAAACTTAAACCGAAAAAAAAAAAAAAAAATTTGTTTTACATATTTGCACATCTGTGAAAAGAGGAGGGACTCTTTTGCTAATCCTGTATACCTTCCATGTGGAAAAGAACTATCCAAAAATAATCAGCAATTTTTATAAAACTGAGCTAAGCTATATTAATACAGCAGTCATGCTGCTGATTGAGACACAGAGCTAACATTCTAACATTTCAATTGGTGGGTTGCCCAAACCCATTTCTTCCTTCCAGCGTATCTTCTGCCAATATTATTATAAATTAGCAAGTGAATAGATCAGTAAGCTAAAACTTTACTGATGTCACTTTTGTGCCATATTTGCAGTGAAATGACTATTTCCATTAGACACATTTCTAAGTTTCCGCATTTAAATACATTGTCATTACCATGCAAAAACTGTGATCAACAGACACACAAAGGTGTTATACCTCTCATTTGTGAACCACTGCAGAATTAGTTCAATGAGCATGCTCAAAGGAAGGAGAGTTAACTTAGGGTTTTGGCCTTCTAAGAAGTTGATGACTCCGGGTGCCTGGGTGGCTCAGTTGTTAAGCGGCTTCCTTGGGCTCAGGTCATGATCCCAGGGTCCCTGCTCTGCGGAGAGTCTGCTTCTCCCTTGGCCCCCTGAACCCCATGTGCTCATGTGCGCTCTCTCTCTCTCTCTCTCTCTCTCTCTAAGTAACTAAATAAAATCTTTTAAAAATATATATATATAATAAAATAAAAAATAAAATAAAAAGTTGATGACTCAAAAGAACAAAATAATTCAGCTTTTGAAATGGAGCAGGGGGTCTGAGGTACTTTCTATGAGTAATTATTCCTACTGCTACTACTAAGAAACATTTATTTAATGCTAACTACAACTGTGGATATACTTCCAAGTATTTTACACAAAGACTGTTGAATCCTTTGACCCACCCAAAAGCTTCTTGAGGTAATAACATCTAGAATGATAACAGGGGCCACCTGGGTGGCTCAGTCAGTTGAACGTCTGACTTTGGCTCAGGTCATGATTTCAGGCTTCTGCGATCGAGCCCTGCATCAGGCTCCTTGCTCACTGGGGAGTCTGCTCTCTCAACCTCTCTCTATCTCTCTCTCTCAAATAAATAAAGTCTTTGAAAATAATAGTACACATTTAATTGAAAACATGATTGTTATGCACTATCCCAAACACACTACACGTATTAACTCAGATCATTTTCCAATGTCATGATGCACGTACCATCTCACCACCATTTCATAAATAAGGAAATGGAGGCCTCACAAAGTTAAATCACACAGTAGCAGAGAGTGACTTAAAGAGTCCACTGTTTCAGTTACTTTGCTTCCTTGAGAATCATAAAGATGGAACAGTGATATACACCAGATAAACATGGGTGACTAAGACCAGTCAAAAACTACTCTATGGACTCGTCTTCTAAGGATTGCCAAATGAAAAACAAGAGAAAATCCCAAGTGAGTCGTGAATATGACAGAGGAAGAAAAGTCTAGGAATTAGAGCTCAATGTGTGAATGTGATTCATTCAAAAAAAGTAAACAAATGTCTTGATTTTCAATTTTTTGACATAGGTTGGTGATGATTATCTTAAAGCCAAATGTGCAGGTACACTTATGAGCATATAGCAAGTCTTACCTGGGGGACCAGGAGGACCTTGATCTCCGGGGTACCCAAACCCTTGGTTCCCCTTTGCCCCATTTCTTCCTGGTAGACCTGCAGAGTGTCAAAGATGGGAACACGCTTACTTTTCCTATAAAATCATTTCCTCCTAGATTATTTCTTTCAAAGTTGTTAATACACACATAGAAAGAAAAATCTTTTAAAATAGCTTGCCATTTATTATTTCTCATGGGAAACAATTTTTGAAGGAAAAATTTCTAAAATTATCACTGATGTAGAAAGATGTAACAAGGATTAAATATTAAAAAGGAAAATGGGGGGCGCCTGGGTGGCTCAGTGGGTTAAAGCCTCTGCCTTCGGCTCAGGTCATGGTCCCAGGGTCCTGGGATCGAGCCCCACATCGGGCTCTCTGCTCAGCAGGGAACCTGCCTCCTCCTCTCTCTCTCTGCCTGCCTCTCTGCCTACTTGTGATCTCTATCTGTCAAATAAATAAATAAAATCTTTAAAAAAAAATAAATAAAAAATAAAAAAATAAAAAAAATAAAAAGGAAAATGGTTTGGGATTATTAGCCCTTTCTGTTAATCACAGTTGTTTATTTATCACTGTGATTGAACATCTAAATTGTTCATATAATAGTAAATAAAAAGGAAAGTATTATCAAATGACATTTCATATAAACATTCAAAGAGAAGTAAGTTGTGGGCCATTAGTAAATTTGGTTGCAAAACATAATTTTTCCTATAAGAGAAAAAAACCTTTCCAATAAGGTAACAGAAGTTACTGATGTCAAAACAAAGGAAATATGTCTGTGACTACTTAAAGACCTTCTTATTAATAACTCAGTCCAAATCTCTAAGTACAATGTCAAAGTTTTCTAATCTGTCTTTCCACAAGCTTCAGACTTCAACTTTGCTTTAGTTTAGAGTATTGCTTTAAGATAATAGAAAACGTGCTTTTTAACTAGTTGACAAATTATTTAAAGACTTAGGTATACAAGAGCTTTTTGTCATCCTAAAAACAAAGATGAACCCATGCCTATTAAATCAATTTAGAGGATGAACACAAAACATACCCTTTTTTATCGTTTGTTTATGCGCATAAAGTGAAGTACCTTTTAATCCTCTGGCACCTGGACGTCCAGGAGCACCCACTAACCCAGGAACGCCATCTCTTCCTGGCAAACCAGGAAATCCTCGAGGACCTTCTGGGCCTATGGGACCAGGCGGTCCAGGAATGCCAGGGGAACCGTGTTGAGACTGGCAATGATCACAACTTTGAATTCTTCCACTCTGAAGTAAGACTGGTAGCTGAGCTTAAAAACAAAGAAGTCCCACCCCTTATATTTAAATGGCAAATGAGTATTAGTAACATCTTACTCATTTTTTATAACATACAGATGCCAATCTATTGACCAATAATTTTGCTTCTAGGGATTTAACTCTGTAGATACTCATTGGTCTGTGTCATCATTTTATTGTAGCAATTGCTTAAAATGGGAAGGAAAAGTGAAAGCAAACCCCAAAAAAGAAACTGGTAAATTACAGACATCTGTATTTATGAATTAAGTTTTCAGAGTTATGTCAGAAAAGAAAATTTAATTCGTGGTGAAATAATGATAAACTGCTTTATTAAAAAGATTACAAAAGAGTACATATAACTTTCATCTTCATAAACATACTCACCTAGACAAAAACAGGGATTTATAAATGTCCTTTATTTTCTTATCTTACTTATGTCTTTCATAATTTCTACCAAGAATCTGTATCACTTTAGTAATTTTAAAGTTATTAAAATCTGTTTGAGACTTACCTCTTAATACATCGGTGCAAACTTGTCGAATATACTGTTCTGAAAATTCTCTCCCCTGTATCAAATTATTAGGGGTTATAACATGTACACACCAAGTAAAAAGCAAAGAAAACACAAGAACTAAGGAAGAAGCAGAATACGTACGGGCTTCCCATCCAGTCCTGGAGGTCCCTGAGGACCTGCTTCCCCACGCTGCCCCTGGGGACCCACAGGCCCCATTAGGCCGTCCTCCCCAGACTCTCCTTTTGGTCCCATGGCACCTCTGACACCAGGCTCTCCCTTTTCACCTCTCTAAAATCAGAAGAAATCCTTAAAAGTTCTATTTAAATATTTCGGAAGGCAAAATTGCATCAAAGACTTCCTTACAGATATGCATATGACTATATACATACATGTATATATAATGTACATTATACAAGGAAACTTCATGTCATATTCAAGGCCTACTCATCCATCCATCCACCCATCCACCCAACTCCACAAATATCCTCTCTTCACTAAGCGTATTGTATAGGTAATACGTCTAGTGCCAGGGAAACAGCAAACATGACACAGTCCTATTCCCAAAGAGTTTACATTCTAGAGAGACAAATACAGAAACACCGTGTTCTTTGTTGAAATACAGGCAGAAAAAAAAATTAGCTCTTAATCTAGAAGGAGAACCATTAACATTCACAAATATGTAACATTTCATAATTAATTCAATGAGTCCGCATATTACGAAAATCACTATTTAAGAACTGAAGAACATGAAAGGCATTTTCTGTTTGTGATGCCCATAGCTAGATTTATACAGCACTGAAAACTCAAGCAATAAGGACTGAAAAGAGAGCATACGACATACCTCTCCTTTTGCACCCTCATGGCCTTGAATTCCCTTTGAAAATTAATAGGAGAAAAAACTATAATAACTGTGCAAGGTATAACTACTAGAAATGTGGCATGCATCTTTTGCTACATATTTAATTAGACTTTAGGTTTTTTTTTCAAAGATTTATTTATTTATTTGATAGAGAAGGAGAGAGAGAGAGCATACAAGTAGGCAGTGAGGAAGGCAGAGAGAGAGAGGGGGAAGCAGGCTCCCCACCAAGCAGAGAGCCCAATGTGGGACTCAATCCCAGGATCCTTAGATCATGACCTGAGCTGAAGGCAGACGCTTAACCCACTGAGCCACCCAGGCAATACCAAACGTCAGTTTTTAATTTGAAAAGTACTGACAGAATCAGTGAAAGAATTATTCTTGATACCTTTTTTTGCCATTTCAAAGGAGACTAATGACAATGCAATATGTTAACTAGATAATAGAAAAATGTGAATTTATGTAACTGTGTCATTCTTAGATAGGAGTATTTTTACATGCAGTTCAAATATGTAGGTTAGAAAGGGATTCCAGTTGAATTCTATTTAAATTCTATTCTGAATTTTATTTTTTTTTAATATTTTATTTATTTATTTGACAGAGAGAGATCACAAGTAGACAGAGAGGCAGGCAGAGAGAGAGAGAGAGGGAAGCAGGCTCCCTGCTGAGCAGAGAGCCTGATGCGAGACTCGATCCCAGAACCCTGAGATCATGACCTGAGCCGAAGGCAGAGGCTTAACCCACTGAGTCACCCAGGCGCCCCTCTATTCTGAATTTTAAATACACTACTATTTTAATGGAAATTAAGCTCAAATCAGGTAAGATATATTTAGTCTTTTATTGGGGTGATTAAATACTCTATTTTCCCAAGTTTATGTCTTTAAAATTAAATTTCAATTGAATGCTACTTACAAAAGATGAGTTAAAGCAATGATGCCATTCAAAGTGATTAACAGAGAAGAAAATACTCATCTGTCCTATGCCTAAACCACTCACAGGTGGTAATTCAGAGATTAGAAAAGCAGTGTGAGGTATAAATGGTATTTTTCCCAAGTGATACGCACACTGGGGAGCCCACACAGGGAATTCACTCACCATTAAAATCATTGAGTGCCTCTGGATGGCTATATTAAATTATTTCCCACTCATCTCTCATGTATTCATTGCAATGACAAATTACAGGTGATAAGAACTTTCAGGAAAGGCATTAAAATTTCCCAGTTTTGAAATTCCTCATACACTCACCCAGTACCAGTTCAGGTTTCAGGGTAAAGCTTGTACGCACACAGGCAGGATTTCATGATTCAACTTTATAATTAGCAACTGGTATTCCGAAATTCAACACAAAATTTAGTGCAAAACACTTCACACTATGAATTTTGAGTTTGAATATTTATTTGGCATCATCTCTAGGTTTCTTGGACATGGATACCCAGATTAGACAAAAGGGAAGATAAGTTAGGTAAAATTCGTATATAGCACAGAGAAAAGACGATTCTCAGATTAAAATGAGAGCATAAAAACACTAAATTTTCATACAAAAATATATTAGCGAGTAAAATACTGTAAGACTATTTTTTAAATATTAAGGTTTCTGAAGAAAGGCAGGGGTGTTCCCTACCAGACATAAGCCTACAACTAGAGCTCATATAAGAGGAAAGACAGAGGAGTTAAGTTCTCAGGACTAGAACTGAATTAGAGCTGAAACTGAAAACAGCTGTCATCTGAGAATCCACCAGGATGATTTCATGAGCGAAACACAACACGAAGGCCAAGAAATCACACACTTGCAGCCCTTGGTAGGATGACAGGTAAACTAGGACTGTTTATTTAAAGAGCTTGGGACAACTATTCAGCTGCTGAAAAGCAATAGTTGCTTTGACCCCCAGGTGCTCCCTAAGGGCTCAGAGTTCCTGGTGGTGAGAAATGCAGCATCTGACAAATTTAGGGCAGAGGCTTTCTAGGGAACTCAAACCCTGCCTGGGGAGCTGATCGTTATTTTCCTTGAGAAGTGTGGGGGGAAAAAAAACACGTTAAGGCACTGTGTAAGCCAGTGACTTGGCAAGGTTGTGAGCTCAGACTCCACAGGAAATAGCCTTCTTTTCAGACAGTTATTGTAAGAATTTGGGGGTAAGGCCGGGGTTGCAGAGGTTGAATGGATGAAGAGGTGAAGGTCCTCCTATGAGAACAGCTGTTTATATATTTGTGTGATTAACTTAGGGAAATCAAGGGGGTCGGTCTGTGCTGCCAGTGAGAAGAATGGGGACGGGCTGGCTGTGTCATCAAGAGTATTGGAGTCAAGCGGAGGAGCACTAAAATTAAGACACAATTTACTGAACATACTTGTATGCAGGCAAACTCGAGCCATTTCTCATTTTAGTTACTTTTGCTCTTCATGTTAGCTTCTAAATTCTCAACTCTTCCTAATACCAGCACTGACCTTCCACCCTCTATTATAAACAATCTTTTGACCATATGCTTTCAGACCTCACCCCCATGGTCTCACAGATCTCTCCAGGTGAGGGACAGAGACCCCTGTCCTCAAAGACATCACTCACAGTTTTATCCCCCTCTCTCCAGAACCAGTATAATTACTGAATCTCTCTTGAATGTCATGTTTGAAAGAGGTCTACCCCACCAAGGGACTCCCTGTACAGTCTGCCCTTCCAAGGGTGGACCGAGTTGGATCTGAGCTTAATTATTGGCAAAGAAGCAGCACACAAGCTACATTAGGTACAAATCACTTGCATGCCTCTTTTGGTCCAGTTCAGCTCTGACTGAACTTGCAGGCCATATGGCAATCTCACTGGAACACTACTTAATGAGGAGAGTTTAGTCAGGGAAGAAGCAAAACAATTTTATTATGAATCTATTCCATAACACAGTCCTCAAGATAGCATTTAATGAATCTCTAGTGTAGTAAATTCTATCTCTGAACACATAAGAGGGAAACAAGTACATTTCTCCACACCTAATAGGCTTCACCTACCCATGTTTAGAAAAAAAAAACAAAAAGAAACAAAAAAAACCCAAGACTGATCAGTAGATAAGGAGATACTCCACTGTATGGCTGCCTTTGGCCAATAACTATTCTAAGATATAGGTGGAGTTGCCTACCTTCAGCCATTCATTTGGCCAGAAAAAAAGCATGGGAAAGGAAGTTTCACGGTGTAGAAAAATGAAAACATAAGGCAAAAGATTAAAGCAAACCATTATCAGAAAAATGAAAACGTAAGGCAAAAGATTAAAACAACCCATTATCACCACCACCACCTGACGTTTTCTTCCTCAGGTGCTTAGAATGCGTGCTGTATCTGCCCTTCTTCCCTCTCTTTTCCATGTGCAGGTAACCCCCTCCCAACACCATCCAGTTACGTGATTCATTACTTCATTGACCATCAGAGAAAACAAAAATACCTGTTGCCCTGGGATCCCCTGTCTTCCATTTTCTCCCTTTTGGCCCTTTAAAATTTAATAAAAATTACCGATTAGCTTGCACACATATAATACCACCACATATAAGACACAAGTGATGTATGAACCTATGGTGAAGAAGAAATGTCACCAAAGCAATGATGCAAATATAGAAATGATGTAAGAAAGAAGTTAGTCTCTCAGAGGAAGAAAAAAGAGTCAACCCTCACATTAACAACATGAAAATAATTTAAAAATCCAATGGCTGTGGACATTTGATTAATTTCAGTGACATAACCATGTTCAGGGCTAGCTATACACATGCAAAGACAAGAAGACATCTTTAAAGGAATTTTTAAAAATTAAAAATACACTACAAAAGTGGAATATTACTCATACATTTTGAAAAATGGAATCTTGCCATTTGTGACAGACAACATGGATGGAACTCGAGGGCATGACACTAAGTGAAATAAATCAGAGAAAGACAAATATTGTATGATTTCACTTATACGTGGAGTCTAACAAAATCAAACAAACAAACCAAACAAAAAAACTTAAGATCGTAGATAGAATAATGGTTTCCAGAAACCATAGAGGGGGGTAAAATAGGTGAAGGGGGTCAAAAGATATAAACTTCCTGTTATAAAATAAAGAGGTCCAGGGGATGGGTGTGTAGAAATGGTTACTACAGTGGTAGTATGGTAATACTGTATATTTGAAGTTGCTAAGAGAGTGATTCTTAAAAGTTCTCCTCAAAAGAAAAAAATTTCTAATTATGTATGGTGATAGATGGTAACTAGACTTATTGTGGTGATTGTTTCACAGTGTATACAAATTCTGAAGAAATTATGCATAACAAATTTGTACACCTACAATATAGTTGACTCTTGAACAACACAGACGTTGAGGGCACCAAACTCCCTCAAAGTCCAAAATCAATATATAACTTTTGACTCCCCCCAGATTTAACTACTAATAGATCATGGTTGACTAGGAGCCTTACTTACAATATAAACTATCAATTAACCCATATTTTGTATGTTACATGTAATATATTCTATATTCTCATAAATAATCTAGAGAAAAGTAAATGTTAAGAAAGTCATAAAGAAGCAAAATACATTTATGATACTGTACCATATTTATTGAAAAAAAAACTGCATATAAGTGGAACTGGGGAGTTCAAGCTGACATTGTATAAGGGTCAACCATATACTGTTATATGCCAGTTATACTTCAACAAAAGAAGTAGCATAAAAACATTTTTCATGAAGACATTTAAGTCAGGAAAAATAAGAAGAGAGGAAAAATAGTAAAGACATAAACACATTTGTCCATTTAATAAATATTTTTGGATGTCCATCATATATAATGCATGGTCCTAGCCCCTAAAGCCCTACTTCATCCCTATGTTGGACAAGATAATTAGCAATTTATAGGAAAACCAATACCTAGATAATATAATCAATGATCTAGTGACTTAAATTTTGAATCACTTTTGCATCGTGACTTATTCATTAATTTACTTAAGTGAACTCCCAACATTTATTGAATGACACCTATTTGCTATCCCATAGAGACACTGAAACAAAGATATGGTTACCTTCAAGTTGCTTACTGTGTGGTGGGAAAGATAAGCCATTAAATCAAGAATGATGAAAATGCATACTGAAACATCTGGGCTGGATACCACCAAAACAGGAAAGTGTATCTGAGAGAAAGGGGTCCTACAGGGTGGGGAAAATAACTCTACCATAAATAACCAAAAAGAGTTAGTCAAACAAGGAAGGATTTTCCAGGACAGACTTTATCTTGAAACATGTGGGACACCACGGAAGAATTCCTGAGTGGGTCTGTAGCTTCCTTATTGCAAGCTGGTAGGAGCATGGGAGGAAGAGAGGAGAGTGCACTCAAGGGGAACAGGGAGGAGGACACTGCAGTAATTTGAGACCCATGACAAGAGATGATCAGGACACTGTGAATAGGAAGAAGGGCCCAAGTTCCAGACAGACTTAGAAGCAAAACTGCAGGTGACGAGAGAAGAGAATGAGTTTTAAGATAACTTTCTAGACTTTTTCCTTGGGTTATTACATAGTGCTAACAATTACTATGACAAAGAACAGAGTAGGAGATGGTTTATGGGGAAAGGTGACAAGTTCTGTTTTGGACACACTGACGTGCACATGAGACATCCAGACTCGGTACGAAGAAGGAAATTGGAATATGTGGGTCTAGAGCTCATAGATACTTCCTTAAAATTCACCTCACTCCTCATTTCAAAATTAACTTAAAGAATCATAATAATGCTTGAATATCTCAAGTAAAACAAATGGAATCAACAGTAGAAAAGCAATTTTTGAGACTCTAACCTTAATAGATTCTAATTCCACTCTTACTTCAATTTGTAATTTCCTTTTATACCTCCAGAAATTCTAGAGCTCTTCACCTTTGTTTCTAAGACTCCCAAATGAAACGTCCTTCTAAATCATTAGATGTCCTCAGCCTGATTTCATTTTTTGGTATAATTCTCCTTCCATCGGTTAGTTTGAACATGTCTTATAATTGGTGTTAATGGTTTCTTATCAAATTTATTTTTGTCATAAGCCATTTCAAATCATTTCTGGAAACATACATACTTTCCATAAATATACAAAGATATTAGAAGTATGTAGTAAAATCTGTATCTGTCTTGTTGAACCATTTGGTTCCCAAGTTTTCTACAACACTGGAGTGGAGAAGAATCTTAAAATGAGATTTGACATTGACCAAACAGTTTAGAAGACAAGAAGAGAGCTGGGACTTAACAATTAGAGACTGATGGCAAAACTGGAAGGAGCTGGAAAAGCCACGTAAGAACTAAAAAGAGCAAAGCCCTGATTTTATTGCCAAGCAAAAATAAAAAAGCCAGCAACATACCTGAATGCCTCTTTCACCTTGATTTCCTTTGTCCCCCTGCAAAAAGGCAGTTAAATATCTATCATAATCCAGGATTTCCTGTATCCTTTCAAATAAACATTTTTCCACAAGAAAAAAAAAATATTTGGTCTCATACAAATTCCACAAGTGCTATATAAGCAGAAGCTGAGTCCAAAACAGTATTTTGGGAAGAGAGTAAAATCATATTATGTCAAAATGATGTTCTAAATGAACTCTGTCTTGTGCTTTTACATTTGAGAGGAAAATTGACTACAATTTCTATTTTACCAGGAATAAGACAACTTTTCTTTATCAATCACCATCTGACGGTAAACAAACATGAGAAAACTCATTTTGACAACTGTAGTTTTATGAAATCAAAGTGAAAATCTTCCATTGAGCCAGTAATAGCCATGCATTTATAGGATACAGTGAAGTAGAACATAATGTTAAAATGGTATTTTAGAAAACATATGCTTCAAAAATGAATTTTGGGGGGAAAATCCATATTCCAGGATAAAAACGTTCCTAGGATTTTTCAGCTAGAAGAGACATTCCTGACCAACTCCTTCAATGCTCTGGTTCTTACAAGGACATGAATATGAATATGAATGACTATAATGAATCTGCAAATCAAGGAAGATAAGCACTTGCCCTGAGATGAACTTGGACACTGTTTCCAAATTTCTTTTCTACCTTACCATGCTCTCTAAACACAGAGAGTTTTGTGTTTACAGCAAACAATATATAGGTGATCTTTAAAAGGGCAACTTTTGGGGCACCTAGGTGGCTCAGTGGGTTTAAAGCCTCTGCCTTTGGCTCAGGTCATGATCCCAGGGTCCTGGGATCAAGCCCCACATCCGGCTGTCTGCTCAGCAGGGAGCCTGCTACCTCCTCTCTCTCTGCCTGCTTCTTTGCCTACTTGCGATCTCTGTCAAATAAATAAATAAAATCTTAAAAAGGGGGGGGCAACTTTTGCACAAGAAATTTCTCCAATTCCAAACATATATTCACAGGTTTACTTCATGTGCACTATGTTTCTAATACTTCATTGCTGCTATGAGGGTCATTCCTGTCTCCACAAGTGTTACCAGCTACTCAGTGGAACAAAAGGTCAAGGATCATACCGGTTCTAATAACCTAGGGAACAAGTATATAATACATGAGAAACAGAAAAATGAAATGGTAGAAAAACTAAAACAGCAAGGGATGTGAAGATGAAGACATATCTTCTATCTATCTATCTATCTTCTATCTATCCTTTCCAGAATAAAAGCCAGTGTATTTACTTTTAGCCTGAAATGTGTGTATTTGCAGTGGCATTGGCTTCTTTGATGAACAAGCAGTCAGTTGTGACTTAGGATCCCACCCAAAATAATATTTATATAGATACAGCTTCAGGGTTCCTTTACTTGAGGAGAAAGAGAGAGAGAATATGAATCTTAAGTGTTGCTCTCTTCTCTCACCAAAACATTTTCTATCAGTATACCTGATTTGTATTTTAAACTCAAATTCATTTTAAATGAAATTCTATGTAATATCATCTTTCATAAATAGGAACTTCATGGTCAAATTTTTACCTTTTTTAGACTTTTGCCCCAGTTTTGATAAGTTATATTCACATTTTGGTAAGAGTGCCTGACATGGAAGACTCTTCCTATAAAATTCCTGTGGAATTTAATCCACTCATGTGGACTGACTACAAAACAATCTGAATTTATAGGATATTACTTGAGGCTGTTTACATTTTCTGAGCTGCATGCTTCATCCAAGACCTTCATCTAGGAGATCACACCCATGTAGGGACCACAGCTATGGACATGGGGTAGATCAGATCATATATAAGCCAAATATAAAAGTCAGCTTATCCTTAAAAATATAATCAGTCCTACTATAATGCTTTCACAAAAGGAAGACTTACGTGCTAAAAGATGATTAAAAGTCAATTATGCCTCCTAAAAAATGCATACCTTTTTTCCTTGAATTCCAGGTAAACCCAGGTATCCTGGTTCTCCTGGGGGACCTACTGCTCCTTGTTCTCCCTAGGTAACATAGAAATTACATAAGATTGCAGACTTATTGCTTATGAAAAACACCACTGTTTTCCTCTACATATATCTCCAATTTATAATCCATGGTTTCAAAATTAGTTGACATTAAGAATTATTACTTCAGATACAAAAGAATGAAAAATTTACCAGAGTCCTGATAAAACTTCTTATATTTTTCCTATCTTTGGTAGTTAAACTATTCTGATAGCATATGTTTTAAAATTTTATAAATATTTATCATTTTTATTTTATTTTATAGCTTCAACAATAAAGTAGATAGTAAGGTAGTGACAATAATAAACATAGGTATCTTTTGTTTTCTTTACTAACTTTCCCTTCCTCCTTGAAACTGCTTATTCTTATATTGCTACCTTAAAGAACTTACTTTATTGTTAAAAACTGATGAGTAAATAGAACTAAAATCACTGACAATCTCCTTACTCACTGTTTTTACTTTGTTACAGATTTTCTCTCTACCTCTCATAAGCACACAATAAACAATTCAGTTACTAAGATTTACTCAGTATGCATGCATCATTTTAGAATGTCTTTTACCACAAAATCTATTAGTACTATGATGTTCTTCACATGCTGTTGTTTTTAAAACGTAATTTTAAATTATAGAATAGTACTTAACTGTATTGATTTACCATATTTGTTTTAATAAAATGCCAATTGTTAGACATTCATTTTCATAGTTTTTACTTTTATCAACAATATTGGGGTGAACATCTTTGTAGCCAAATAGTATACACATTTATGGTTTTTTTTTTTCTTTATACAAATGGAATACTGTTGTCTTAAAAGTAAATTCTTGAGCTATTTCCAGTACAGGTAATATTCTATGACTTAATTCCTCTGCTCTCCATCATCCCATAGAGATTATTCCCTTAATGAAATAAAGATTTCTTAAAAGTCTTACATAAGGAAATTTCTGAAAGTTACAGTGATATGGGATGGAATCCTGAACTTGCTTCATGTTTTTTGGTTTAAGTTTTACCTTTAGTCCCAGACTCTACCACATTAACTAAAGCCTACTCTCTTTTGTAGAAATAGTTTTGTCCTCTTTACTTACTACGCGCATTCCTGAGCTATGGAATATTACTGCAGATTGTTAAAGGCTTGAAGAGAATTGAAAATCCTATTGAAATAAACATCATCCATTTGGTTTGGAGGGAAAAAATACAAAGGGCTGTGAGAGCCCACGCTAAAGTCCCATCAATCGGCAAACAGAGGAAGAGCACTACTTGTGGGAGCCACACACACTTTCCCTCAGTTACAGAAGACAGCGATATTCTCCGGACCAAAGAGGAGGTTCATGTTAGCATGTGGCTTCTACCATTTCCAGAAAATCAAGCCAGAGGATATTTTATATCTGTTACCCAAACTATGATAAAGTATCCAAAAACCAAATGAAACCTTGCATTAGGCATTTTCTTACGTGTTTGTTATATCTATTTTATAGATCATCCTTCATTTCATGTAACTTCTCTTAAGGGATGCAAAACAGTAATCTTAACAAACAACGAAGGAGACTTATAATTCTTTGAATATATTTCCAAATGCCTCAAATGATAATTACCTTTAGTCCAGAAGCCCCAGGCATCCCTTGTAGTCCAGGTTCACCTTTATTTCCCTGTCAATGCATCAATCCATTAAATTTTTTAAAAACACAGTCACAATATATCTGATATAGACACTTAAGGGAATAAACTTAAAATAATTTTTACATTTTCAACTGTCCAACTGTATCAAACATAGACTCTGTATGTTAAGCCTACTTATTCAGAAAGAATGAATCCTCATATTCATAAAGCTTTCTGAAAGCATGTTTTAAAGCTAGCAGCTACAAGTAAGGGACGAGACTTGAAACCTCAGAAACAAGTGCTAATTGGCTGGGTCTCCATACTCTATAGGCTAGAGCCATGTATGATAACAACATCCCATATACCGAGAATCTTCATCTTTGCCCTGTTTCATTTTCTCAGGATGACTCAGTTTCAGCATGCAAGGAAAGAAAATTACCTTCAAATGTACAGTGGCTTTAAAAAATATATATATGAATCAGAAAATGTTTACTTTGTGCTCTTTTTCAGAATTTGAGTGCTGTCCTTTCTAACAAAAGCTTGGAGGGCAAAACCAACTTGACAGGGCAAAGAATATAAAAGTATAAAAGGGGTCAGGCATATAGCGAGAGAGCACGTCTGCTGGCTAATAAGGAGTGACTGTCAAAGACAGTGCTGGTTTTCAGAACTAGAGGGTATTATGCTAAGTGAAATAAGTCAATCAGACAAAGACAATTATCATATGATCTCACCGATATGTAGAATTTGAGAAATAAGACAAGAGGATCATAGGGGAAGGGAGGAGAAAATGAGACAAGACCTAACCAGAGGGGGAGACAAACCATAAGAGACTCTTAATCTCAGGAAAAAGAGGGTTGCTGGAGGGGAGGTGTGTGAGAGGGATGGGGTTGCTGGGAGATGGACATTGGGGAGGATATGTGCTATGGGGAGTGTGGTGAATTGTGTAAGACTGATGAATCACAGACCTATACCCCTGAAACAAATAATACATTATATGTTAATAAAATAAATAAAAATAAAATTAAAAAGACAGTGCTGGTTTTCAAATATACCTTGATACCTAAAATCCCAATCTAGTCAGTATCAGACAAAAGCAAGGGCTGAACTGGGTGTACTAATAAGTAAAGGTAACCAACTTCATTTTCAGCTTTTGAAAAGTTTTCTAGGTTACTCATGTTGAGAAACATATGAACACAATACTTGGACATAATTAAAGCATTCAGCACATAACAACATTATTAAGCCATAGAACAATGGTTCTTTAAAATTTTTAATTTTGTGGGGTGCCTGGGTGGTTCAGTGGGTTAAAGCCTCTGCCTTCGGCTCAGGCCATGATCCCAGGGTCCTGGGATGGAGCCCCACATAGGGCTCAGCAGGGAGCCTGCTTCCTCCTCTCCTCTCTCTCTCTCTGCCTGCCTCTCCGCCTACTTGTGATATCTCTCTCTGTCAAATAAATAAATAAAATCTTTAAAAAATAATAATAATAAATAAATAAATTTTTTAATTCTGTAAGTGACTAAGTGGAAATTCACAAAGGTGACAAAACTTGCTGCAAGTTACTTGATTATGTTAACACATCCTAATGTCATTTAGATAATAATTTTTAAAACTGCAATCTAGTATGGTTTAATGGCTTAAAAAAAAAAAAGGGTATCATAAACCAAGTTAGAAGTTTTCTGAAGATCCACCACAGAGTTTCAGCCTCACCCTTGCCCTATTTAATACAGCTTTTTTTTGTCCCACCCTAAAATTCATACTAATTGATATTGAAAGCATAGTTCACAAACTTATCACAGTTGACAAAACAGGCAGAGAGGGCACCTGGGTGGCTCAGTGGGTTAAGCCTCTGCCTTTGGCTCAGGTCATGATCTCAGGGTCCTGGGATCGAGTCCCACATCGGGCTCTCCGCTCGGCAGGGAGCCTGCTTCCTCCTCTCTCTCTCTCTCTACCTGCCTCTCTGCCTACTTGTGATGTCTCTCTGCCAAATAAATAAATAAAATCTTTAAAAGAAAGAAAAAAAAAAAAACAGGCAGAGAGAAATTAACATAGAGCTAGGTAAACCAAGGCTCACGGGCTAAATGCAGCCCAGTGCAGAGTCTTGTAAATCAAGTTTTGCCAGAACACAGGCACATCCCACACAGTCCATGGCTGCTTTTGCAATATAACAGCAGAGCTGAGGAGCTGCAACAGAAGCTACATGGCCCTCTAAGACTGAAATATTTACTATCTGGCCATGTGTAGAACACCTGAACTAATATACTACATGAGAAAATAGTTGAAGTGTCTCACTGAAAAGATTACATTCAAGAGGTATAATTTCAACACTCTGAATCAACTTTTAACAAAACAATTGCACAAGTACAGGATAAGAGAAAACAAACTTTACAGTAATTCATGTAAAAATAAACTGATCCTGGAAACAGCCACCTGCTTTCCCAACTCTAACAATAGAAACTACTCTACTGGTGGATGCCATAAGGGATTGTTCTAAAACCTTTTATGGAAATTCCAGCAGATTTAATGACCCCCCAGCTCAGTGTGAGCTAAGGATGTGAAGCAGCTGGTAAAAACAAGGTGAGGAAATCTTAGGCTGAATTCTTAAGAATTAGAACATCCAGAACACCGTGGGGGGAGTCCACTGTACCCCAGTTCCTTAGGAGTATATGACTACTCTGTATCTTCTCAGAAAATGACTTTGAGGGGCACCTGCGTGGCTCAGTTGGTTAAGCGTCTGCCTTCAGCTCAGGTCATGATCCCAGGGTCCTGGGATCTAGCCCCGAATCAGGGGCTGCTCTGATTGATCCCTGCTCAATTGAGAACCTACTCTGCCCCTCACTCCAGCTCATGTTCTCTCTCATTCTATCTCAAATAAATGAATCGAAAGAAAGAAAGAAAGAAAGAAAGAAAGAAAGAAAGAAAGAAAGAAAGAAAGGAAGGAAGGAAGGAAGGAAGGAAGGAAGGAAGGAAATGAGAAATTATGCAGAATCTCTACTTGGTAAAGGTTTTATACCAATTCAGTACACACTTACTACTGTAGGACACACAATACTCCAACAATTCACAAGGGTTCACCACTGATGGAAGGGCAGTAGCTACTTTTCCCTGAACACTGGGCTCCCATGATGTTTTATCCTATTTCTTTCTCTAAATAGTTTTGAAATTGAAAGTAGAATAGATTAAGTCATCTCCTCATCCACTAATTTTGTATGCCAGAGTCTATTCCCATGGGACAATGTCTAGTTAAAGGTTTAATTCTTTCAAACAGGAATTGCATCATTTCCTTTTGGAAGGTTGTCCTACATTCTACTCATTAAATAGTTGAGAATAGTCTGAGTCTAGCCAGAACGTACTTGATTTGACCCTCTAATAAACCAAGAAAAAAAAAAAAACACAATAGTTTTCTTAGCACAGGATTCCATCACCTAGAATATGGTCAAACCATGGTATTCGGAGTTTCAGTTCTATCTTGAGAATAACCTAACCTGACATTCTAAACATATTTGTCAGGCTTGTCTGACATTTCTTAAAAATGAAAGTAAAGATAAAGTACTATCTTACCCACAGTCCTGAAGGAGAAAACACCTACTAAAACTCACGACAAGGCATTTTACAATAAAAATTCCATATACATACTACCAAATAAAAATATCAAGACGATGACTTAGGAACTGGTAAAAAGTTATCCTCAATCCTAACTACTAACCCACTCCATTGGTGGGGTTTGGAACCAAACCCCATGCAACTCTACACAGTCCTTGGTGCCCCTGGGATGACAAGAGAGGAAGAGGGGGTCAAGTAGTTAGAGATTCTGGACACTTTCCAGCTCAAACCAGACCCACTTTACATCATCCTGTTTTTATATGTTTAGTTTCTGTCTAACATTTCATTCTTACAAATGATCATCCATAGAATTAAAACCACATTTTAAGTAAAATCAGTAGAATTAGGTTTTACTGAGTACATAAGTGGTCATTTTCCACAAAGTTTTATATCTTATTAATTTCATTTTATTTACCTTAGATCCTGGTGTCCCAGGCTGACCAGGCAAGCCATCACGTCCCATCAAACCCTACATTTTTAAGTGGAAGTTTCGAGAGTAACTTAGAAAACATTATTTAAAAAATATTAAATCCATTTCCAAGGCACACATTCTCATAATAATTAATCTGCTAAAAAATAATACAATATGAGGAAAAGTTCCCCACAGACATCCAAATAAAGGATAGTGAAAAAAGCAAAGCCCTCCTAACATGTTTGCTCAAATAACTTACAAATAGCAAAAATTCCTGGAATGCTAGTAAAAGACAAATGTAAACAAAAGTTGGTTTTCTTTCCTACATTCTTACTTTCTCCCTTTTGTCAAGATGGCTAAGAATTAGGTTTCTTCACAGATGTCATCCTGGTCAACTTTACATTCAATTTCTGTTTTCTTAAACGATATTTTGAAAGAGTTAAACCTAATAAATTCCCTGAATATAACAATTTCTCTTCAAGTTACAAAATGGTCATATTTGTAACTAACCATATAATTCAAAATATGACAATAATTACTCTAGCAACAAGGAACTAATTTAATTTAGATTCTACTTTAAATATTGTTACATACATTGAAAACATTTGCTTTCTCTTAAACATAGCCAAGAAAACATGATGAGCAAAAACTATGCAATTAATATCATCAGAAAACGTTATCTCAGTAGGATCATCCTGAAGATTCTATGTCATCACTACTATGCTTTGCTATTAATTTAGGATATTGTTGCAACTATAAAATGTAAAATATACTGGTTCACTGAATCATGTATGAAATATTAGATATAATAAGTGTACATATTCTCAAAGTTCAGTGAAGCTCTAGCTAACACAGATCCTGGTAAATAACCAAGTATATTATTTCAATGAACAAATGATGTGATAGTGATAGTGGAGACAGATTACTCCATTGTAAAGGGAAGAATCTTCTTTTAAACCTCCCGTAAAGTCAAGTTCATATCTCATGCACAATATTTTTCTTTCTTACTCTTATGTGCAAAATTCACCAACTCTTTCACCAAACAATGAATAAAATATCTGTGTTTTTGACATAAAGCCTTTAACTGTTAAACATTAAAGATAACCATTTTACTTAAAGTTATTATAGGCAATTTGATTCATAGGTTAAAATCAACATCACTTCTAGCAATTTTTATACAATCTTGCACACATACAATAGGATTTCCATAATTTCTAATACCAAACTCATATGTCCCTTCCACTCTCAAAACTTCCTAAAATTATTTGTTCACTAATTTAGGATCTTGCTATACTATGTGTTCTGAATATATTCTCCATCATTAGTGTAAAAATGTGTAATTTTTTTTAAAAAGTAAAAAAAATTATTAAGTTTCAGACTTTTTTATGGTATGTAGTTTTTTAATGAATAGATAGAATATTTGTTTTCTGGTTTATCTACATTATGAATTCTTGATCTTTATTTGGGTGGGAAGAAATGTGGAATCCTCTAGAAAAATGGATATAATTATTTTCATACAAATGGATTTGTGGATCCCCCAAATCTCACTGTTGAATTCCACCCCCCCCAAGTTTTATAAACTCCAAAATAAGAACTCCTGGTACATCAAAACTGTATTTCAAACACCCTGATAATAAAGACATTAACATACAGGAATTCCTGGAGCTCCTTTTTTTCCTAGTGGTCCTGGAGGTCCAGTTTCTCCCTAAAAATCAAATACAGATCAAATTTAAAATTTTGAATTATAAATCCATTTCCAGGAATTCCCTACTGAAGCATTATGGAGTGAAAATCCACTACCAATCAGCCCAGTCTGCCTTCTCTTTCTCTACTGTAAACCAGAAGCAACATAGGATAGAAAAATCAGGAATAAAACACCTTAAAGATTTGGGCGTATGGTCTGTGAAATCACTAAGTCCTATATCTTTATGAGAAAATCAGGAGTGATACTATCATTGTTTCAAACAAAGACCTGGAAGTTCACACAGAGTTGGTGAGGTGAGACAACAGTTGGGGGTGGGGGGTGTCACATGAAAAATTTTCTTATTTATCATAGATTAAGAAACATGATAGTAAACATAAATTAAGAAAGTACAGGACATAGAATAATAGCATTTATACTTCAATTTCTTGGACTGTGGCTAACTAGGTATTCCAAGTGAGTCTTTGAATCCTTAACAACAAGAACAAAAACCTGGAAATAACATCCTCTGGGATAGAGTGTTGGTCTTATAAGAAGTTGGAGAGGTCTTCAAAGATCCCTCATTTTAATAAAATATACTCTGGGTTGACACTGTGATTATGAGGATTTGGATCTATGCAGAAACCTTGCCAGAGGTAGAGATGCAGGAGCCAAGAAGGCTGGAGGTGTCTAGAGTGCATCGGAAAGTGAATGGTGGACTAGCCATGGGAAGAGGGTGGGAATCCTTAATCCCTATGAAGACCCAGGACTCTTAGAGGGGGCTGACCTGATATCCATGGCTACTAGTAGGAGGCAGCTCTCCATGGACTGATTAGGCTGCCAGAACTCACACCAATTAACATGAAGCAATGAGCTCATATTTATCAAGAAAGAAAGAGGGAGCAAGCCACAAGACTGAGAGTTAACAGAAATAACAAATTGCAGATATTGGAATTGTTAGAAAGAGAATTTAGAACAATATAGGAGGTCTTTCCATATTAAAGAATGGAATCATGAAAGATGATTAGGACTGTAAATGGAACAAGATGATATCAAGAATAAAAAGATGTAAAAAAAAGAATAAAGACGTTATTAAAAAGTTGAACTTTTAGAAATGAAAAGTATGATTGTTTTGTTTTATGATTTTTTTATTTTTATGATTGTTTTGTTTTGCTAGTTTAAAAAGCAGAGCAGACACAGTTAAGGAAGAATAAGTACAATGGGAAATATATCTAAAAAATTTAACCAGAATGTTAGAATCAAGAATATGAAAATAAGAAGCTCTTCAGAAACATGGAGGACAAAATGAGAAGGAATAAAATTTATCTAACTGTAATTCCAATCTTTGTTCCAAAGATTGGAAAAGATGTAATTTGGAAATAATGAGTGATATCTTCCAGAATTAATGGAAATAATTCCACAGAGTCAGGAAGGAAAGTGAATTCTCCTCAGGGTGAATAAAGAGAAATGCACATATAGATACACAGTAATGAGTTTCAGAACACGAAAGACAAATAAAATACCTTAGAAGAATCCCAAAGAAAGGAACAGACCACTTACAAAAGAATAATAATTAGAATGAGAGCAGATATTTCATAGTTAATAATGGAACCCTGAGGACAATAGAAGAAAATCCTCAACATGTTTCAGTGTAATAATCGTCAACCTTGAGCTATATACCCTACAAAATGATCCCTCAAAACCAAGAGTAAAATATCTAAAATTAGATAAAATCTGGAAACTTGTTACCTAGATATGTGTAATAAGAACTGATAAAGAGGGGCACCTGGATGACTCAGTGGGTTAAAGTCTCTGCCTTCAGCTCAGGTCAAGATCTCAGGGTCTTGGGATCGAGTCCCACATCCGGCTCTCTGCTCAGCGGGAAGCCTGCTTCCCTTCCTCTCTCTCTGCCTGCCTCTCTGCCTACTTGTGATCTCTGTCTGTCAAATAAATAAATAAAAATCTTTAAAAAAAAAAAAAAAGAACTGATAAAGATATAGTTCAGGAAGTAGTAAAATTATCCCAAAAGGATAGTCAAAGGGCATTAGAAAAGTAACCACATAAAACAGAAAGCACATGTATAAATTCAAATAAATATTATCTGTATAAAACAACAAAACAAAAGCTAATTATAAGGATAAAATAATAGCTTCTGAAATTATATCATATTTGAACAATTAACTGTTGCTACGAAAGTGGGAAGAATGTTCTATGTGAGGTCATCACCACTTCACCCTTTTAATAAATAGATCTAGCCCCAAATCTTTCAAGTTTCATTAATACTCACCTTTTGTCCCATTAATCCTTGGTTTCCAGGAAATCCTGGCATTCCCTAAAAAGTAATAAAGTAAAATTTCAATTTTAAAAAGTGTGGACTGTATCATAAGGAAGAATAAGTCCTAATAGGATTTTTTACTTGTAAATAATGCGTAATTTCAAACTTCTGTCATCCACTTATAATATAACACTGCTACTGATAATCCAATTTGGAAAAGAGAAAATTTATGGGAGTCAATATTATATGAACATCTACTGATAGTTCAAATTTTAAATACAGTCTTCCAAAAAGAAAAACTTATGAAATATTAACCTGGTTCTTCTTTCAAACCAACATAAGTGATAAAAAAAGAAGGATATTTCATTTGAATATATTCCTTTACTATTTAAAGTGAGTAATGCAAGAAAACCTGTAAAGTCATAGGAGTTCAGATTTAGTACAATTCCAAAGGGCCCCACTGCCTCACAACCATAATTAAAAACTAATAAGATTAACCAATATCCTCCAAACTGAGCCATGAAACACCCAGGAACTTACTTCCTTATATAAAATACAATCATTCTCCTAATGATTCCCTTATTGATAAAACCACGAAGAATATGCAGGTCACAGTTTCAGGACAGAAGGAGAGAGAACTCTTTCACTTGGTTCAACCTAGATGTACAAGTTCTCCAGCAAGATTCAGAGAATATTAATGTTCATTGTATAAATTTGAGAATAATATTAGCACATTCGTTAATGGGCAAGCAGTTCTACTGTTGGTCCTTCAATGCATTTACCAAAATAATCTTTTACCGGCCAAAGTAAACAGTGATGGTACTAATCAATTTTCATTTTTTATTCATTCTTCTTGGTTTCTTTCTCGATGGCACTTCAGTTAAAATAAGTAACATTGGAAATAAGCAATATAGACAGATGGCAGAAAGAGGAATTTGAAAGATGAGGAAATAGGGCCCCATCAGTATTTCTTTGAAAGCCCTCTGCACTATCATGGCACTCAAAGAACAGCAGCACTCCTGAGTAAATCAAGGCAGGTGGTAGAGAGGCCACTGACAATGAGATCAAGTTATCTTCTATTACAGGGAGAGTAGGCCATTATTTTGATTTTCACATCTTGACTTTATTAACACAATACTGGTCAATGTGTTAGCCACAATTATAATGCAAGACACATGCATATAGTTCTGGTTTTAAAATCTGAACTTGAATCATAAATTGGATTTCATGTTGATTTTATTTGGCTCCATTCATTTCGCCATGGCACTACACCCTTTTCAGAGAACAAAGGTTGTGTGTGAACAATGACTATCAATGGTGGAATTGTAGTCCAGTTGAAAACACAAGCATTCATAAACATATGAATTAGAAAATAATAAAAAACCATGTAAATTTTAAAGTAACATTATAAAACATAGCATAGTTTTCTTTAAAACATACAGGAAAATTAAAATAACTGAGTTCTACATAGAAAGAACACAGAATGATATAAATTGTATCCTTCCAAGGCAGAAAATGCATATTCTCAATGCAATCAATTAAGATCAATAATGTTCCAAATAAAGCCCTCCAGTTCATAGACCATAACTTGGCATGAAACCATCTGTAATCAGCTCCCATTCAAACACACATATACACAAACTCACTAAAGGTTTACATTAAGTCCGGAATTTAAATAAGACTTGCCTGTAAAATCTTAGCAGATACAAGACAGACATACATTGTTCTATGCTGAAAGTGGTGCTAGACACTGGACACAAGTGGACACTAGACACTGCTGTGGCCATGCAGTGTCCCTTGGGCCCAAGAATCTCTAAAGGGGGTCATAGAGTTGCCCATGATACCGTCAGACCTGAGAAGCTTGATTTCTTGCTGCATTCTGTCTTTTATTGCTTAGAGTTTCATCACGATTCAAGTCTCTATGCCTTCACACAATCTGTGACATTAGTACAAACCAGTTAACAGACATCCTGCCTCTACTTCTGTTTCTGAAGCCAATTCCAGTGTCAGATAGGCAATGTCTTCACTGTGGGGGCAAATGGAATTATGCCCAGACACCCTGACGTCCACCTCCCAGGAGCCCTTGAGAGCCCCCACAGTTCACTCCCAGGATCTGATCTGATGTCCTATTATTTAAATAATTATAATACTGAGTTTGGTCTATATTAGGACATAGCCCAAATCTTATGTTATTTCAGCATATCAGATACTGAGAGTATTTGGGGGAAAATTTCAGATTTGAAAAAAAAAAAAAAAAGATTCCTTTTCTTATCATCTTAACATGTTAGTAAAACATGAAAATGTATTTCAGAGATATGAAGTCATATATTCTATGTCTAATTACGCCAAGAACTATTGCTTATTTTATAAATATCAAACACAAATATATAAGATTACATTATATTAAAAAAGAAGATGTAAAACTGAATTATAAAAGCAATTCTTGGCAAAACTAACATGATACCATGGGTATGCTTGGAATAAAAGACTGTTGAGAAAGAAATTAACCAGAACTGAAGTCAGTCAGAGCTATATTAGTTAATAAAATTCTCCTAGATTTTATTTTTCTGGGCCCCCATTTATTGAAATTCACTAAAATTTGCCAATTTTACACTAGCAGAAGTCTTATTCAAAACCATTTGAAATTTACCAGTTTGTCGATCCAAAGTATTTAGTGACAATTACTTCATACAGCAAATGTTTTCCAAGCAAACTATTTTATATTTCACTTTTGGCCTGTGTGGTTTTGGATTCAGTCAACTCTGAGAATGTGTAAATAAAGAAAGAAACAAGCATTTTATTTGGTAAGAGTAAAGGGGTATATTTCCCCCACTTCTGTGATTTCAGTTTGGGTTTGAGAAAGAGCAGAAAGTCAACTGGAAAATCCTGCATAATGTTGTGGTAAAAAAATGTTGACATAAAAAATGTTCTAGAATTTTCTCTGTAACCATTAAATCATTGATGTGTAACAAAAAGTCATTAAGAATAGAAATACATAATTTGGTATAAGGGGTTTGGCCTCTATTTCCTAAAGTCCATTTTGCGATGAAGGAAATGTGCCCATGATACATTACTTAGAATACACAAAAAATATCACTTGATACTTTCTCATGTCCAAAGAATTCAGTTATCTTATCCCTGAAATCAGAGCATCTTGGAGCCAATCTGCCTGTAAGTAATGCACTATTTTCAATGTACTAAAAACAAATCTAACCCATTAATGGTATTTTTATATCAAAATTTTTAACCTTTCCATACAGTGGTATAGATATTTAATATACAGTTATCAAAATATCAGAAGAATGTTACGTTTTCTATTGAATCAAGAAGTGATTTGTTCGTTCCTAAAGATTCATGAAGAAAAAGCACCTATACGTTTGTAGTACTGTTCTTATTAGCTACAAAAATTACAACTGTTATTATAGTGATTATTAATAAAAGCCCAAAGGAAGCAGTTACAGGTTTAGACAGTGAAGTCAGCCATCTCATTATCCAGGGGCTGATGGACTCCAAGCCTGATATTTAAACTGTGGAATCTTAGTATCTCCATTTTATATGGGGCAAATAATAAAATCTACCTCAGAGAGTTGGTACATTATATCAATGAACTCTCACAAGTGCTTAGCTCAGTGCTGGCAATTTAATGAACAAATTTTCATGACTGTCTTTTCACAGCTCCTCCCTGACCTTTGAAAGTTGTGAAATAGATGAAGTCAATTTTCCCCTCATCTCAAAATGTGTCCTCCTTCTCAGTTTTAAGGATGTCTTTTTTTTTTTTTTGGTGGTTGGGGGTGGGGGGGGCGGGGTCTTTCTACCTTACATCTCTCTACCCTTGCTTCCAAAACATCCCCTTGCACCCAAGAGGACTCCAGCAATCTAAGGCTTCCCACTAGGCGGCATCATATTGGCATTGCCCTCATCCATTACCTTTGTTTGTTCCCATTTGGCTAACTTTGACTACAACGATTTTTGCTTTTTAAACATTCACATGTATTCCATCACAATTCTTTCAGGAAAATATAACCAAAAGTTTCAAATGTACTTTCAGTTGAACCCCACGATGTTTTTCAATCCTTTTTTAAAATTCCACACTAACTGACAGATCATTATGAATGATGTATAAAGATTACGCTGTGGTAAGAGAATGCTAAAGAGAAGTAACTCACAACCACAGCTGCCAAACCTAAACAAACCAATATATAAGTACTTGCAATAAACCCATAATAAGGAAATCACCAGCTTTACTATTCCCTTTAATACTTTAACACAGTTTTACTACTCCCTTTAATCTTCAAGGGGGAAAAAAGTAATCTGAGTAACACTGGATGAATTTCTTCTTCCCTAGGCTACAGATGAGGACCCACATGGGACTGGACCCCAAAGTACACAAAGGTAAGTAATTTCAATAGAAAATACTTTGGTAAATATTTCTGTGCTACTTATGTTTATACACAATAGAAAATGTCACCAGTTTGACATAATAAGTTACAGAGAGAGATCAGGGGTGGTATCAAAAGGAAAAGCTACCTGCGTGCGAGCCCTTATAAAGTTGCTTCAAGTTACTGGCATTTCTCTTCAGCATCTAAAAGCATTTCAACATTTTTTTAAAGGCCAAAAAGATACTCTATAAACAATTTTTCTGTTGTCAAAGTATCTTTTTCAGGACAAAACAAAAAAAGACAAATGTTTAGCAAATTAAAATAACATACCTGAAAACCCAAAAGAGGAGGGGAGGACAAAATTTCAACCACGGATGGTCTCTGCACTACCACATCATGGGAAAGTCATGGACTCACCGAGAACCCAGGAATCCAGAAAATAACCTGTCCCTCTACATTAACAAGTGAGATCATGCACAAGAAATATATTAGGGAGTTAAAGAAATCTTTTTTTAATAGAGAGAGACACAGCTGGAGAGGGAACACAAGCAGGGGGAGTGGGAGAAAAAGAAGCAGGCTTCCCATGGAGCAGAGAGCTTGATGGGGGGGCTCTATCCCAAGATCCTGGTATTGTGACCTAAACCTAAGGCAGATGCTTAACAACTGAGCCACCTAGGC